AAAAAAAAAAAAGACCATCATCGAGTTGACGAGCCCCCAAGTAATTCAGAATTATTTCATCAGTGTAAAAAAAAAAAAAAGAAAAAAAAAAAGGAATTATTTGAATTTATTTCATTGGATACAGCAGCAAGGTCCATTACGACTTGAGTTTGGGTCTGTATTTCAACAATTCATTGCTAATGCCAACTGAGGTAAGCTCATTGGTTGGGAGAGGAAGATTCGAAACATTGAAAAGTAGAAAAACCAGCTGAACGTCAGGAGGTAAAAAAAAAACGAAAAAAAAAAAAAAAAAAAAAAAAGGACAAGTGTCGGTGGCAGAGAGCCCGCGCACCTTTGCGTTCTCCGCGTAACAGTGGACACACGCCTCACGTTCTTCTGAACATGGAATTGGTCTCGACGGAGGCCTGCACCCACCACGGAGCCACAACACCGCAACACCACAGCACTTGTGAGCCCTGCCTGTTAAACCACTAGGGAAAACTGGCAGTTTTCCCAAAAACTCCTGAATATTCGGAGGTCGGGCCCGACGACGACTGCCATTGATAAATCTGATCTGCGGCCGTCGTTTCGTTTCGGCCTCTGAAAAGGTCGGACACCTACCCGAGGCCCGCTATTTTCCCAAGCGGCAAAGGTACTAAGCAACTCTGTTACGTAAGTAACTCGCTGCTTGTATGCTGAACAGTGAACAATAAATTATAAATCACCATTTAGATTTTTATATATATAGATAATACATTCTCAATAATAGACATAAAATAAATACACATAAAATAGAATATTACATCAACATCTTGAGTTCAACGTCCCCGGGAAACCTATCTCCCTTTTTCGATTTTCGGAGTTTAGTACTCAGTGGAGGTAAGCGGACTCGAACCGCTGACATCCGCCACGGGGTAAGCAACTACCTCAGTAATTTCTCTCTTCAATTTTACCTAGGAATTAGCAGATTAGCAATTAATAAAATTTAAATATAAAAAATTAAAATGATGTAGTATGTTGATTCAAGTTTCAAGTTATTTTTGATAATTTATGATGAAACAGATTGGTCTTTGGTAAATCATATTTGCAAGCTAGTTGCTCTCGGCCAGGTGCCTCGGTGGTCCCCTGGGACCCTGAGTTGGAAGGGGGTCCCACGGGGCCGCAGCAGTCTGGTACCTCCGGTGCAGACCGATACTCCCAGTATATGTAGCAAGGCCTCTACTCTCCCTCTGTAATGACAGATCCGATCTTGAGTGATTCGGAGGGAGTGGGTGGGCCCGCTGTGCCGACAGGTGGGCTGAACCAGCAGCGTGAAGCGCCCTGCCGGACTTCCTCCTAGGGCAATGTCCCCGACACCTCACAACCCTTTTTGAAGAAAAATGGAAACTAGAAATTCAAGGTAAAATTGTTAAACTGCCCCTCAAAATTGGGGAAATTTTCCTCAGATACCCCTATAGACATGGGTAGTTTCAAATGTCCTCGCAGTCGTAAAATTTTGCAAAATGCCGCACTCGCCGATTGGGCCCCGCATTCGCAACTTCTCCATTTGCCCCGACAGTCCTTCTGGCTGTCGGACCCTTGGTGCCAAATTTTGCAAATGCCCTCCCTGCTGGTACCAGGCATGCTCTCTCTCTCTCTCTCTCTCTCTCTCTCTCTCACCCTGTTAGATTCACGATCAATCCATCTGCAATTCTCTGCACATACTGCAAAATGTATGAGGAGCAATCTGTGGTTCTGATTGACACAAGGGGTCACAATGCTGTCTTCTCTGCTTGTGAGCGCTACAGCCATTTGGGGATGAATCTGATCAAAGTTTTCTGCTACATTCAGTTCCGATTTGTCAGATTCATCCCGAGATCTCAGCAGCTTTCAGAACTGAGACTTTTAGCTTGTGAGCGCTACAGCCATTGTCATCGTAGTCGTCGTCATTGCCGTAGTAGCAGTACCAGAAGAAGAAGAAGACGAAGAAGACGACGACGACGAAGAAGAAGAAGAAGACGAAGAAGAAGAAGACAAAGAAGAAGACAAAGAAAAAGACGAAGAAGAATAAGAAGAAGACGAAGGAAAACACGAAGAAGAATAAGAAGAAGACAAAGAAAAAGACGACGACGACGAAGAAGAAGAAGAAAAAGAAGGCACGCGCCAACTCAGCCACTGTTTGAAATTCGAACCGGATGAGATGGTGCGTGCCTTGCTTGAAATTCGAACTGGTTGTGGGGCACGCAGAGAAGAAGCCTATGCGGTGGAGGGTCAGACGGCAGAAGAAAGTTGGATGACGAAAGAAGTGTGTCGGGCCCTACAGTCCACGGCCAGGCCCATATCGCAAAGTTTCCCATTGCTGGGACAGGTGTGTCTATGTATGAAGAATTCAGGGGCATTTCACAATACCCCTGTGTTCCAGGGGTAGATGCTTATAAAAGTCACTAAATAAGTTTAATAAACCCAAAAAAAAAAAGTCAGCGGTCGCAGTTAGGGTACACAGATTCCTACGAAGACTAACCCCCCCCCCCCACTGAGCCATGCTGACAAACACCGAGAAATGGACCAGCGTGTTTTGCCTGGCGCCGGAGCACCCAACTTGCGCCCAGACACACGCCGGGTCCCTGGCCAGGCTTGAACCCCCTGCAGCGTTCCGGCCAGTCGCAATGCAAAATAATAATAATAATAAAAAAAAATTGAACAACTCCAGGGAACGAAAAAGGAAAAAAAAAAAAGAAGGGGGAATTGCTTCCTAGCCACCTTCTTAGTTGGGCACTGATGGTCGCAAGAAAAGACAAAGTGGCACTGATGTCATCATTCAAGTTTCAGAATGTGCAAGTTTAGCGGGTGGTGGTGGTGGTGGTGGTTGAAATTGTGACCCCCCTTTGTGTGAAGTGGCATGAATGCAGATTTGGCAGCGACTTTTTTTTATTTGCCCTGTTTATTTCGAGAACTGCTAAAATTGCCTAATAGTCCAAACGCTAGCTAGGTGTGACACAGAAGCCGTTGCACAGCCCCCCCCCCAACACACACACAAAAAAACAAACCCTTAAAAAAAGAGTTGTGCAGAATTGCAATACAACGGGTCTTGTTTGCTGTGGTTGTGACGTGGATACCGACGGGTCTTGTACCCTACGGGTCTTGTTTGTACTTTGTCAATTCAATTTTCGACTTTGTAATTGGCTTCTCTACATTCTTGTACGTTGAGCTCTTTGTGACTTTGCTATACTGTCTATTGCACGTGTGAACTATCTCGGAGTCGCTTGCTGAGATTAGTGAGCACGGTTTGATATCTGTACGGGTATTGGTGAAAGAAACGTTGATATTACTGAAGATTGGATGCAGCTGTAGTGGTGATTGAAGACTCACTTTGTCGAGATGTCAAATCATGGGGACTCTAGAGACTATGGGGGCGAGCGTCGGGACGTTGGAAGATACGATCGAGGCGGATATAATCGAGATCAAGGAGAAGATCGACGCAACTACGGAGGAGGGGACCGAGATGGCGACCGCGGAACGAGGCGTACACCCCTCACATGCTTCAATTGTGGGGAGACAGGGCATTATGCTAATCAATGTCCTAATCCGAGATGGCTACGGAATACAAGACCGGCAACATCGACGGAGACACGACGTGGGAGATCTTCATCTCCGTATCGGCAGAATCGTGAATATTCTAGACGAGCATCATCCATGGACCCGATTGAGTCTAAGGTGGCGGAAATTGGACAAAGTGTAGCCGCAGTCTGCCAGTACGTGGAAAATGAGCAAATGAAAAAGGCGGAGAAGGAGCGACGGAAGGCTGAAAGACTGGAGGCCCAGGAACATGCCGAAGCCGAACGGTTGGCACAGGAGATGAAGCGGAAAAAGAAAGCCGAGAAGCAGCGTAAGAAAGCGGAGTTTGTTGAAGAAATGAACAAGAATATGGACGTCCAAGTTGCAGTCCGTTTCAGCGAACTGCGGGAAGATGTTAGAGAAGATGTCCGGGCTGAAATTCGGCAGGTTATCTCTGAACTATGTACGGCGGCCAGCCGAGGCAAACAGAAGGTTCTTGAAGAAGCATGCAATTCGGAGACGGGAAGTGGCGCAGGCAGCAGCGGAACTGAGGAACTGAGCGCTCGTACAAGAAACTTGCACATATCGAGAAGCGGAAACCCTGGAACCAGTTTTCGAGGATAGCCCCCCGATGGAGCTACCCCCTAAACGCACTCCAAAGAAGCCGGTGGTCAAACCAGTGAAGTTGACTGCTAGGATGACTCGGGCCAGAGCGAAGTGCATCACCCCCAAGAAGGCAACTCCGAGGTCGGCGACGAAGAAGAAGACCCCTGCAGCTATTGGTCCTGTCGGACGACTGAAGTACGAGAGGCAGATGTTGCAGGAGCTGAAGAACCTGGATGCACTAGTCCTCCAGAACATGTGCAAAGACGAGGGCGTCCCGTATAACGGGAAGTTTGAAGCCATTTTCGACATAGCCGCACATCGTACCCGTTTAGCATACGGTACCGAGGAAGATGAGGCGGAAACTCCGCACGAGGTGGAGGCTGTGGAGGCCGAAGAAGGTGTTGAGAAGGCTGAGGCAGAGTGAAGAGGGTTTGCCATCCCTGAGCTTTGGGCGATCGTTGACAGTCTTACTGCATGGAGAGCGCGGAATAAACTAATCGACGTGGGCGTGGAGGAGTTACTCCGTCTGGTAATCGTATGGCTCACATTAGCCGGTGAGATACGTTGGGCACAGGAGTGTGTTCCATCCTGGCATAGGTTGTATGAGAACTACGGTACGCAATTTGTTAATATAGCAAGCTGTGTTTACGTGGCAGTTTCACCATACTGTAAATCGCAGTATATTGGAAAGACCACCCGCAACGTGGATATACGTTGGCGGGAGCACTTGTATGCCTGCCGTAAGCGAAGCCCTTGTCATTTTTACCGATGGTTGGGCGCATTTGGGGTTGGTAAGTATGTACTGATACCAGTGGATTCGGCAACCAACGAGGAGTTGACTAAATTGGAAGATGTATATATCCCATACTTGCAAGCAGACGGACCGGACGAACGTCCGGTCCGGTCTGCTTTGCCGCGTGCGGCACCCTCCCCCTGGACCAGACGGACCCGGACCGGACCAGAAGGGGGCTTTTTTTTTTTTTTTTGGGGGGGGGKGGGGCATAACTGGTCGTCGGGCGGACATTCGTGCGCCGCACGGGTCCGGTCCGGCGGTCTGCCGCCCGGATGGCGTCCGCTTGCAAGTATGATATATCCGCCAATGGTCCCCGTATTTGAATACGTCTGGAGTCGGAAAGGGGAAGTCTCGCACGAAGAAGAGCAATAAGGGGAAGAAGGAGAGGGATAGAACTGGGAAGACGAATGGGGAATTTCGTACGATAGCACCTATTCGTTTTCGTTTGAGCACTGGCGAGGCATGGCAGTTTGATCTGTTTGCGATTCTTAA